CTCGATGGTTTGGCACAGATATGCGGGGCTACGGACGGGATATTGGGTGCGTTTGATAGTGCGATCGTACCGCCCGACACCGCTCGCAGCTGCTGCAATCGGCGAATATGTAACGTCTCGCGTGAGCCACGGCCACTATTGGGATTACAGGCCGTGTCAAACGCTTCTGTATTGCATATGGGCATGGCAGACTGATAGTAGCCGCTTGGGGATGATACACGTGGCCGTATACGTAGCGAGGCACGCGTGGACCCCGTGGCTGATGGTGATGCAGTGTCTGGTGATTTTAGCCCCCCGCTACCCAGTCGCAGTCGTGCGACGTAGCGGGGGGCCACGACTACGTTTACGAAAACATAAGTAGTCCCGCGAGGTGTGAATTGGCCGCCCCAGTAGCCCCCTTTCCAGCGAGTTGGTTTTTTGGCGCGTCCCCAGAGCGTCCAAACTTGTTTGGGCGCGAACCGTATCTCGCAACGAATCTCGCCGGCCTCACCGGCTTTCGTCGCCCATGCTCGGTCTCGACTTGAGTGCCGCTCGACTGGCCGATGAAGAGCGACCCGTACGACGCGCACTTGTCGCCCTCCCTCCTCGCCACATGACGGCCGCCCACCGACACCGACAGTCGCGCTCCGCACGCCTTCGAGGTCAGCTGCGGCCGAGCGACGACCGGCTCGTCTTCTCCGATCGCTGGGCGCGGTCACTCTCCGGCCCATCACCCGCCTGCCGATCATCTGTCCGCCTCGCCGCGCGCGGGCCGCTCGCCTGCTCGCCACCGCCGCCGCGTTTCCCCGCGCCGCCACGCTTCCCTGTGCACCTGACCGCGCTCGAGCCGCCGCGTTTCCCCGCGCCGCCACGCTTCCCTGTGCACCTGACCGCGCTCGAGCTGCGCACAGACGGCGCGCTCTGGCAGACAGAGCAGCGGCCGCCTAGGTGGTCGCTGCTCCGCCCCGTCCGAATCCGTCCGCCCGCGCGTGCCGCTGCCGCCGCCGCCGCCACCACCGCGCCGCGCTTCCCCGCGCCGCCACGCTTCGCTGCACCTGACCGCGCTCGAGCTGCGCAGGCAGACGGCGCGCTCTGGCAGACAGAGCAGCGGCCGCCTGGGCGGCTGCTGCTCCGCCCCGTCCGAATCCGTCCGCCCGCGCGTGCTGCTGCCGCCGCCGCCGCCGCTCCACCCGGTTGCCGTGTGTCGTGAGAGTTTGCTTTGTGCATGTGTATGTCGTAATGTGTGTGGACTTATGTCACACTTGAGCCTCTATGTATGATTAGTAGACCGGTACTCGGGTTTGGATGGTAGCGGGGGGCCCCGCCGGAGGCTGGTTACTGATTGTAACGTCTTTTGATCATTTCTCGGGTATGCCCGCGTGGAGTTAGAAGCTCATCTTTGGTGCGCTGGAGACATCTCAACATGCTACTTGCTCGTGGTACAGTCGGTTTAGTGTGTGGTAATCGTCCCAAGATCACCATCAGGGGCTATTCATTGGCGCGACCACAAAATGACGCAACCCTCCGAGGGATCCAACTGCAAGCGAATTCGGACGCCTACAGTACCACTCGAGACGTCTATCCAGAGCTCAGGCTCTTCTGTCCATAATGGAAGAGATCTCTCATAGAATGTAGGACGCCGTTCAATCTACATAGTGCCATGGACATGGGCACACGTCCGAGGCCCGCCTGAGGGCGTGCCTGAATGCGAGAGCCCATGCATGCCCTTCGTGGAGTCGAGGTGCGCCTTGATACGTCCACAATGACCACATACACATGCGTGCCAGGCCTATCCGATCGGAAAGATTTGCATGGCCAGGTCCTCATTGATCGCGCAATTGCTACACATGCATCGCAGGTGTGGCCTTCTTGATGAAGATGACTCGTAATCCGTGCGGCCCATCTTTCACCGGCTGGATCGATTCAACCGTGCAGCCGCGCTGTAAAAGAAGCGTGCGCAGTCTCCTCGTGTCGAAGTCATATGTGCCCATCACACCATGCCTATCCCAGGCGTTCTCTGGACGTTTGTGCTCGTGTTCATCCAGCGTAGCACCGGCCTTGTACAGCACAGAGTCGCACGAATCGTCGCGAATCACTACAAAGCTGGGGTAATCGAAAAGGACCCGGGCGTGCACGAGGTACTTTGGACGCGATGCGCATTGCCGAGGGGTGCATAGTGATTTGTGACCGATGCCAGTCCCTCGTTAAACTTCAGACGGCGAGGGCTTTCTCTCGCTCCTCTGCGCTCTGGAAGATCGGTTTTTCACGTGGGCGACGGTTGTGGAGGGAGGTTCTGTTCGACCCACTTTCGCCCTTCGCGCTTTTCTTCGGGCCAACGCAACATGGCGGGACGTTTGCTCGAAGGTCGATATACCTTAGTTGAGTGGCCTACTTCTAACAAAAATCGACTCGACCTCCGCATCCTCGACAGCCAAATTATGCACGGAGTTGCGAATCGCGTGATGAGTAGTATTTGATTTTATGTACCTCTAAGCTTACTGTCTCCGGCCCACGTCCCAGGGAAAGAGTCTGGGAGGGTGTCCTATGAGGAGGGGTGCATGGATCGGCGGATACCCTTTCCTGTTGCACCCCACTGAGGCCCCTCCTGGATTGAAAAATCCCCCCCTCGTCGACCTGACCGCAAAAGGGGCACGCTCGGCCACTCGGCGGCGGCGCGATGGCGACCGAGCGGTCAAACTCGGCGCGCTGCCTCTCGATGCCGTCGAGGCACGCCCCGCAGATGGCGTGTCGACAGCACGCGGTGCGCCACGTCGCGCCGGCGTCCTCACAGAGGCTGCACGCGACGGCCCGCTGCATGCGAAAGCGCGGCGCCGCGGCAACGAGCTCGAAGCGCAGGCTGCCCGGGCCGTGCAGGCGCACCGAGTGGCGGCGCCCGCGCGCGTCGACCAGCGCGTACGCCTCGCCGATCGGGTCAAAGGCCTCGCATCGTGCGACGATCGTGCCGACGTCGTGCGAGGGCCGGCAGCGGATCTGCGCACCGCGCAGGCCGTGCCCGCGCAGCGGCCGCGGCGCGTCGACCGTGCCCTCGCTGCTCGAGGGCGAGCTCCGCGCCGCCGCTGCCGCATCCAGCACCCCCGCCGCCGCGCCGCGCAGCCGCTCGTTCTCGTGCTCGAGCGCGTGCACGCGCCGGCGGAGCGCCTCCAGCTCCACGGCGGGGTCGAGCCGCGGCGCCTTGGCCGCGCGTGGCTCGCCGCCTGCTCCGTCGGCTTCGTCTGCGGCTGCGACGACCTGGCGCACACGTACGCACACAACAGAGCGCTCAGCACGTGGAGAGCTGCACTGGGAGCGTCACCGGCCGACGCCACGGGGCGAAACCTCGGGGTAGCCTCGGGGTAGCCTCGGGGTAGCCTCGGGGTAGCCTCAGGGTCGGCCACACACCTTGCGAAAGCCCCGGATCGGGCCCCGCGCCTTCACCTGGCCCGGCAAGGTCACCTGCTCGTTGCGCACCTTACGGCCGAGCACACGCGACACCGTCGCCGCCAGGGCCTCGTTGCTCGGCACGCGCGTGCCCGTCTTGAGGTACAGCCGCGCGTGGCAGTCGGGATGGTGCGCCTCGAGCAGCGCCGCCACGTCCTTGAGCTGCACGTAGTCCTCCGCGTCGCCGCGCTCAAATTGCGTACCGAGGAGCGCGCGCACCGCCTCGTCGTCGGCGCTCGCGTCATCGGGGGCCTGCGCGCGCGCGGGTGCGGAGAGGATTGAGCTTTTGAGCTAGCTTTCGAGGGCCGGTGCGCGGGCCGGTGCGGCAAGGGCGGCTCTGCACAAGCGTGGCGCGCACCTTGGGCGCTGCGGCCGCCGCGCCGACGGCGACGAGGGCGGTCGAGCTGGCCGCGACGCTGAACCCGGCGCCCTCGTCCGCCTGCAATGGGCGCACACGCGCAGCGAACGGGGGCATCTCGCGTGAGGCAGGGCACGGCACAAGGTGCGGCGCACACACACTCACCATCATGAGCGCCGTCGATGGCGCGGCGTCGCGTTCCACGGAGCGTGCGGCGGCTGCAGCCGCGACGAGCACCTGCGCATGCGCCATGATGGCGCGCATTTCGGCACGGCGTGTGAGCCTTGCTTGTGAGTTTGTATGTGTGAAAAGAAATGTGGCGCGTGCGTGTGTGCGACTGCAACGAAGGACCGCTCGCAGAGGACCATTGGGTTTGTACTATTAACAACGAAGGCGCTCTCAAAAAAAGAAATTAAACGAAACCAGGCACGGGCACACACGCAAGCAAAGAGCAGACAAGAGACGGGCCGGGAGGGCCGGGTACGGACGTTAGCGTCGCAGGCCTACGCCCTAGGGGCGTTGCAGAATGCGCCGCGGGGTGTGTCGCACTGCCCGGCGCTGGCTGCGGCGCACACACACACCTGCAGCTCCGTCTGCGGCGGCGGCGCGAGTGCTTTGCCATCGCTGACAGTCAGCCGCCGCCTTCTTTGTCTGGATCGGCCTCGGCGTAACCGCTCTAACGAGAGGGCCTCGAACTTAGCCGTCCTAAACGCGGCGGCGGCCCCGACTTAGCCGCCCTAACCGGGAGCGTGGACACGTGTCACGTCCGTAACTGTCGTAACGGTCGGTGTAACGGTCGGTGTAACGGTCGTAACGGCAAAATGAAATTATCGAGATTTGACGACCTTTTTCAACGCCCCTGAAGGTCCCTGTACGTCCCTGACACAAGAAAACATCGGATTCCGGGGCCGCCGGCTTGAATATGAAGTAGTTGAACCGGGGCCGCCGGCTTAGCCTCCGACCCCAGGGCCTAGGCGGCCCGCCATGAAATCTAGCCGTGTGTGCTGGCGTCCGGGTCCCAGCGGGTTTTCACGTAACAAGTACACACCAGGACGCGCGCTGTCCCGAGCACAACACATCCGCAACTTCTAAGACGCCCATCACATCCGCAGTCGCCCTCACCGACGACCACACTCTGCCCTAACGCTACCCGCTGACCTCCGAGTGCCCTATCAGTGGGCAGGCGAGTAACACAAAACCACACGGCTTGATGACAGCCCCGACGATGCTGCGAGTTTCGGATGTCGCTGACGCTTGGATCGGCCGCGCACTCACCACTTCGTGCAGCCACACGGAACGCAACATTAAAGGCAGAGACTTCCTGGTGTTTCCGAACGGCACGTACATGATAAACAACATGAGCAGAGCCGTCTCCAGACAGTCGGTGCTGCGGAACACGAGCGCAAAGTTCTACGACACGCTGCCTTTGCTCAGCAGCCGCGCACGTGAGAGACCCGTTGTTGTGATGGACGGCGACCGCTGCACTCCCTCTCCCCAAATTGCGATCATGAGCTGCCGCGACGCTTCGAGCCCTAACGTGGTGGTCTGGCCGATGTATCGGATGCTCGAACAGGATGTGGCGAGGCTCTGGCCCGAGCTGCTCAGCGTCGCCGTGCCGTGGTCGCAGCGACGGCCCGTGGTGGTGTGGCGCGGCAGCCTGTCCACAGGCCTTGGTCGCACTGACGGCACCTCGCGCCTTGATGTGGTGAGTGCGCTGCGTGCACACGGTGGCTCCCTCTTCGACACTGGCCTGCACGATCTTGCGCCACACAACAAAACCGGGGATGGCCTGCGTAGCGTCAAGTTCGACCAGTATCTCACGGCCGTACAGCAGGCGCAGCGCTATCAGATGCTGCTGATCCTGCCCGGCAATGGCGCCGCTTCTGCGTCCGTCTGGGCGATGGCAAGCGGCTGCACGCTGCTGATGGAGGCCACGCAGACGGCGGTCACGTGGACGACCAGCCTCGCCCGCCCGTGGGAGCACTTCATTCCGGTCGATCTCGCGAACGTATCAGACATCATCCGGGGGGCGCGCTTCTGCGTCGACCACAGCGAGGAGTGCGAGCACATCGCCACGAGCGCGCGCCGCCTCCTCGTCGCCGCCTACTGGCCCGCCGGCACTGCGGAGTACGCGGCAGAGCTCGCGGCCCTGCCTGCGGCTAGCCGCACGCGGAAGGCGGTGAGCCTCTTCAAGCAACGCATCAGCCGCATCAAGGCGACGGTGCTCGAGAAGCTCGCGACCCACGCGGAGGCGAACCCGCAGTGCGCGCCGCGACCCGAGCTGTACGTGCCGACCATCGGGGGAGTGGCGAACGAAGTCAAAGGTGCGACTGAGCTGGATTTGTTGGGCGCAGGGCAGGTCCAGCATCGCGCTGCTACGTCAGATGATCCTGGCACTGAGGCGCAGCAGGTCGAGCCGCTTGTGATCGGTGCTGGCTGGGGCTCGACCGCGACGAGAGCGCTCGCGACGGCCATGAAACAATTTGGGCTCACAACCGGCCACTGCTCTCATTACTACAATGCATCGGCCGGCGTGAACTGCCCCCTTTCCTTCTGCTCCGAGATGCACAATCTGCTGCAGGGCCGGCTATGCAAATACCTCGCACAGGAGACAAAGGACCCGGCGCTCTTCCGGGTCTTCGACGGGCTGGATGCCGTCTTCGACACGCCCGTGCCCAACTTTTTCCCGTACCTTTGGCGAGCGTATGGACCAACTGCGCGCGTCGTCCTCACTGTTCGTCCAGCCGCCGCCTGGTTCGCCTCTCGCTCACGCCACCACAGGGGGTCGTATGAGCAATCGGTGGCCGTGAACGATACGAGTTTGCGGGCAGCGGATCCGCCCGACGTTTGGCAAGGGGGGGTGGACAGGGACGTACCGCTCTGGGAGCTTCTGAACCCCGCGTGTGATGCTTCCGCCAAGGCTCGGCAGAAGGAGCTCAACTTGCTCAGGAGCGGCGGCGGCGCCGACTCCGATACGGTCCGGCTTGCATTTGAGGCGCACAATGCGCTCGTGCGCTCCCTCGTGCCCGCCTCGCGCCTGCTCGAGATCGACATCACCGCGCTCTCCGCCAACGAGTCCTGGTCGCGCCTCTCCAGGTTTCTGCGTCGCCCGGTCCCTCGCGACGCATGCCTCGCCGCGGGCTGCCGGTTCCCCGCGCTCATCAAGGGTGCCGGGACGCCACTACGGATAGCAGGCAATTCGCTCGTCACTACTGGTACTGCGGCGGACGACGAGCGGTGTCGATTATCACGCCAGGCAGGGACGTTAGGAGCCTCCCTCCAAGAGCCGATGTGATGGTATCTATCTCGAGATGATACTTGAGCGTGATGAAAATCGGGTACCGGAAAAAGATACCCAGCGGGTCTCGGCAGATACCTTTATGGGGCGGCGCCCCAAGCAAGTATCTAAAAAGAACAACGTGGTATCATTCGCCGTTCCCGACTTTTAGCACGGGTCTGTCTGAAACGGCTATTTTTTCCTTGTCTGCTACACTGATCGGGAGCACGACCCCGGTGGTTTCCAAACTGTTAATACTCATCGCCAATTCACTGGCTGTAATTCAATCTGCCAATTAATAACATAAAGCCGTATAAGCCGTATAACATCTATGCCCTCGCGCCGCCGGTATGATATACTCCTCGGAACCCCCCCCCCCCCACCTCTCACACAACACGGCCTCAGCCTACGTAGACCCCGTCACCCAAGGGCGGTTTCGGTCGATCCTAGTCGCAGTTCGGTCAAAAGCGTAACAAAAGGTTTATGATTCTCGGACTGGATCGCAGTCCGTCCGACTGCGGCGCGCAGAAGGTACCGGGGCTGTGTAGCCATGCAATGCCGCTTGGCGAGCACACTCAGCACCTATTGGTGAGTGTGCCCGCCAAGCGGCAGCAGCTGGCGTCGACGTGCTGGTACCTTCTGCTCGCCACAAGTCAGGCGACGTGGACTGCAGTCCACGAGGCGCACAACCACCTCGATGCCCGCGCCGGCTGCGGGCGCGGCCAATGGTCTGGCGGTGCTCAGCCGTGCTAGTCGACCTCAGCCGCGGCCGCCGATGCATTGGAGACGGCCGTGCGCGCTGATCTGGTCGATCTGGTCACCTGTCTCGTGACGTTGGCAGGCTGGTGAATTCATCCACCAGCATGCTGCCAGACCATGGTCAACTGATGCAGTATGACGTGCAGGACTCCACTTCCACTAGCTCATACACACATGGCTCAGCCACTGGCATGGTTAGGTGGCAGCCTCTTTGTCGCATATGCACGCGCCTCCATGCCACGCGTGCTTGTGCCGAGAGGGCCGCGGAGGCCACCTCGGCACGCGTGGCATCGACTGGTACGACCGAATCTGGCAGCTCCTGCGGCAGCCAGCTTGTTAGCTATCATAGCTGAGCCGTCTGTGGCCGCGGGAGCCGCGGGGAAGGCCCCAGGGGATAGTTATTACGTGCGAAATGCGAAAAGTGAACGTTCTCGTCCGAACTTGAACCGAACTGCGACTAGGATCGACCTTTCGCACATTTGCCGTCGGAAGGGCCTGATCTCGCGCGTTTGACACCGCTCAAAAAATTCGCTGCGTTAGCGCAATTTCGCGCAAGGCGCATTTACTCTGCAAAGCCGGAAAATTTCGCTTACTACCCACCCACATGTGCGGCCCACGTCGCCTGACTTCTGCGCAGCCGAAAGGGTACCAGCACGTCGACGCCAGCTGCTGCCGCTCGGCGGGCACACTCGCCGATAGCGGGCACACTCGCCGATAATCGGCGAGTGTGCCCGTATCGGCGAGTGTGCCCGCCAAGCGGCATTGCATGGCTACACAGCCCCGGTAGCGGTACCTTGCAGCCGCCGCCGCCGGACGGACCTCGATCCAGTCCGAAAAGCGAAATAAACCATTTCTTACTTGTACGAGTTGGAAATGCCGGCAGCCTATAGCGCGCACACGGTCCCGGTGCGCCTGCCCAACTGTCATAAATAATGGGTACAGTATGCAACCTCTACCAGAGAGGTGGTGTAGTATACTATTTTTAAAGCCGTACGCAGAAACTTACCGAAACTTAAGAATGACTATGTAATCCGCAATCTCCGGCGCGGCGGTGTTGGCTATCTCACAGTGTGCTGGCTGGGAGCGGCAGCGGTGCTTAGTTAGACGATCGCAGGGTCATTGGGGGGGCGCGGGTCAGTTTGGGTTCCCGGTGGGAGTGGGTGTGCCTTTAGAGAGCGGCCTGGAACACCGGGAGACAACGATTCCAACTTTGTAGTGCTGCGCGTGAGAGCGGCCACCCCGGGCATCGTCGCCCTCACGCATATGTGTGCGCGCGTGCATAGTCTACCCCTAAGGTGGGGGATAACCATCTGACCACTCATCGACGGGGCTTGGCGAGCGGCCGCGCTGCGGGGCAGGGCTGGTGAGGATGGGCTCTGGCCACTCGCCCGTGCGGTTGTAACCGCGCATCAGCCGAACGGAGGCCTCGACCGCCCCTCGCGGCCAGTGTTGTGCGCGGGGCTTTGTAAAATTCTTTTTCAACGTTATCGGGTTCCTTTTCGCGCGCTCCAGTGTTGCGCTCAGGACATGTCCCTCGGCGAGCTGATCTACTTTCCGGTCCAGGCCAAGGGCCTGCAGCTCGCGATTCTGGCCGAGGCGAGCGGGCTCGAGTGGACCGGCTTCACGGTCGACAAGTCGCCTGCAGGGCCAAAGAGCTGGCCCGCGATCAAGGCGTCGGGCGCTTCGCCGTTTGGGCAGCTCCCTATGCTGCGCACGCCAGGCGGGCGCGTGGTCGGCCAGAGCGTCGCGATCGCGAACTACATCGCGCACCGCGCCTCGATGCACGGCGCGGGCGACGACGACTTTGCGCTCTCGCAGATGTGCCTGGCGGAGGGCGAGGACCTCTACTCGCTCCTCCTCGGCGCGGAGCTGGCCCGCTGGAAGCCGCGCGAGGTGCGCGCTGCCAAGGCGGCGGCGGTTCGCGGCCTCATCGCCACGACGGTGCCGGACCGCCCGAGATCACCCGAGATTGCCGGAGATTCTCCGAGACGGCTCCTTGCCACACTGGCGCTGCGACGCGGGTGCGGACAGAGGTCGGAACCGGCCGCGTTCACGCCCGCTTCTGCACAGGTGCCAGACCACCTCGCAAAGCTGGAGGCGCTGTGCGCGGCGCCGCTGGGCTTCACCTCGACCGGCAATATAATATAATATAATATGATATAATATAATAAATATAATAGGCGCCGCTGGGCTTCACCTCGACCGGTCAGACGGCGGGCGAGCTGTACCTGTCTGGCATGCTAGAAGTTCACAACCAGAGCCGGACGCACACGCACGATTCACACGGCAGACAAGGCGCAGACGACGGCTTCCTTAGAAGCCGTCGTCCTCGCCAACCCAGCTCTCCCATATCTCCCCACATCTCGGGCCCCTAGGGCCCCTAGTAGCGGAGCACAGACCCACATCTCCCCACATCTCCCCACATCTCCCCACATCTCGGGCCCCTAGAAGCGGAGCACGTATTCTTGTGCTCCAACCGGCGGTCGAGAGGGCACGTATTCTGCTGTATTCAGCCGTGTTCTGCTGTACTCGTTGTGTTCGTACCCCCCTCGGAGTTGCACGGGGCCCCGCGTCCCCTGCGCAGTGCCGCCTTCCCGCCCCAAGTCTGGCGTATTCAGCACGTAGGTTCGCGACGCACGAGATGCCCGGCTACGCGCCTCATCTCCCAGATCTCCCCCAGATCTCCCCCCTATCTCCCCATCTCTAGGTTCGGCATGCTCTACCAGACCGCCGCTGTGGCGGGGGCCGCCTCCCTCGACGCCACCCCGCGGCTCAAGGAGCGACTCGCCCCCCCGCTTCGGGGCCATCTCTGGAGATGGCGGGTCTCCTAGGCAATCACCGCCGCTCCATGACTCAGGCGTGGTTCGACCGGACCAAGGCGCTGCCCGCCGTTGCAAAGGTGTGCTGCACAGAAAGAAAGAGAGGGAAATGAGAGAAGGCACAGATAGCTCACGACACCGCGCTGAGTTCGCCGCAGGTGCTGGAGGGGCGCTCGGCCATCGGCTCCCTCGGCCAGTACTTTATGAACGACGCGGACTATGACCGATTCAACGCCGCGTGAGGAGGGGAGAGGCGGGGCGGTGGGTGGGGGGCGCCAAACGAGGGATGAGACACAGAGGCAGGGCGGAGAGGAAGGACATGGCGCGCTTGCGCCAGTCCCCGGCAATCGGCCTTGCGCTACAAGCCTCGCCTGGCCGCTGCCCTCATGTCGACCCGAGCGCTATGCGATTTTATCAAAACGTGTCACGCGCTCACGCCACGCCCTTCGCCCACGGCGCCACGCGGCTGATGAGATTTAAACAAGCAACGTCGCCCCCCGCGCAAGGCCGTGCGCCAAAGCGACAAGCGCGTGAGCACATGTCTCTCGCCCGTTGCCCGACGTGGAAATTCGTGGCGCCAATCCCGGGCGAGTCGTATGCGTGTCTGCTCATCCTGCTACACCTCGGTCGGCGCTGCCGCTGCGCCGGCCGCGCCGCGGCGATTCAAAGCTAAGCGGCGTCAGCTCGGTTGTTCGAAGGTGAGCAGTGAAGGGCGTCCTGCACGCACGGTGAGGAGGCTGATCAATAGTGCATGCTGTTGACAGTGGCGCACCGGCACAATGAAGGAGGGGCGCCTGAGGTGCGCGCCGCGACTCCTCGGAACGCCCCGCGCGCTGAGCACCGCCTCAGCCATCTCTCCGGCCTGTACGAGGAACGGACTCCTCCAGGACGCGGCTCCGTGCGAGAGAGGCGTCACCTCGATCACTGCCGTCTCGGCAGCGAAATCCGGCGGAGGAAGCTCCTTCTCAGCGACAAGAGGAGTCTGTATCCCGCCGGCCTCTCTGGCTGCGAGCCTGATCTCGTCGGCCGCGTCCTCGCCGACGTGCGTGAGGAAGAGGCTGCTGACGCCATCCCCGCCAGAACGCTCTCCGGTTCCGGTTCCGGTGCCGCCCCACCTGCAGTCCTCGCCGGTGCCGGCGATTCCCCCTTCACCAACCTCGTATCCGCGCCCGTCATCTCTGATTCCAGTGACGACGGTGGCGGCACCTCCTCTGCCGTCTCGACTCAGGTCCCACGTGCCGTGGCCAAACCGTCCCACCAACCCACCGCCCAACTGCCACAGCTTGAGATTTCCGTCCTCGCCTACGAGACGCGTCGAAATACGAAGCTGAGACGCGAGCCAAACTGTGAGTCGAGGCACCAACCAAGACAGAGCGAGTCGCCCGTCAATAGCTCTGGGAGCCTCTAGAGAGGGCCATCGAACCTGAGAGGCTCTCTTCTCTTCTAGAGCCGCACCGGCCGTTGCGCAAACGACGCCACGCTGACAGTAACTGGGGGACGTGCAACGGCGTGCCGACGCTCTCTGCCGACAGCTTCAGCATCGGGTCGACCTCGCTACCGGCGGACGCGTGCGGCACCCTTGCCCAGCGCTCGGCTGCGGCGACTGGAATGCACCTCCGCGAATGCGGGTCCGTCACGCCGCATAGGCTCCTCCTCCGGTCTCAGCTGCGTCGATTGGGATGGTCGACCTCTCGAGGGCACATCCTGCTGGTTCGGACGCGGTGCGCTGCAGCTGAGTTGGAACTGCAACTACGCCCACGCCAACATCCTAATGGCCGCAATTGGCCAGGAAATCGACATATGCGCGGGTGCGCTCCGCTGCCCCGCCCGCCTGGTCCTCTCCCAGCGTGCCTGGTCCTCCCGCTTGCGCACGTTCCCGCGCCAGCTACTCCCCCGCGACCTCCCTCTTGCGCCAACCTGCCGGTGTGCTGCTCCCCCGGCGGCCGCGTAGATCCGGACTCGATCTGCGACGACGGCAAGACGTACTGGGCTGCCTCGATCGCGTATTGGATGCTCAAGGTGCACGCCGTGTACTTGTTGGACCATTCGTTCGACACTGCGATGGCATGCATCAAGGATGGCCTCTGCGATGCGCCGTACGAAGGAGAGTGGAAGGGCTCTGGGTGGGAGACGCGCAAGGAGAGGTATGAGCAGTACCTGCAGATATTTGCGCCCGCGCCGCCCGTCTCCGTGTCGCCTCCGCCGCCTCCGCCATGCTGGGCGCCTCAGTCCTGCCCGAGCAACCCGGTCTGGCCCTGCGTAACCGGCGGAGATCCGTTCCAGTGCGGCGACGTCGATCTCGGCGAGCCGTGCGCCCGTGCGCCAGCGGCGCGGTGGGCAGTGCCCCTTGACGCGTCCGCCCGTGAGCAGGCAAGCCGTGCTTTTGCCCAGAGGAGGTGCCGATGATAGTGAAGGCGGCGCATGCACCCGTGGAGAGGTGTGGGGGCAGTGTCTCTTCACGCCTGCAGTTGTGAACAGGTGACACAGTCCTTCCCGCTCGACGAGGATTGCGACGGTGCACAGGGCCAGCCGCGGCTGCCCTCCTGCTAAGCGGCGGGGCCGCTGAACCCGTCTCTCTGCCGCTCAGATTCCGCCCTGAGTGGCCTCGCCGACGCTCCGTCTGCGCTCTGCGACCTCACAAACGCATGGGACTCCTCCTCGTGCGACGCCGAGCTCACGTGCTTTGTGGACCCTCAGCGGCGGCGGCGACGCTCGCTCGCCACCGTCGCTCAGAAGGCGCTGCGGGCGGCGGGCAAGCCGAGAACAGACCAGGGAACATGCAGCATCGATGCGCCGGCCAACGCTTGCATGCCGTGCGCCGACGAGGCCACTTGCGGTAATACCGATGGAGACGGCGTCTACTGCTTCGCCGACTCTCCCGAGTGCCCGGACGACCCGGCGCGGACGGCGCGAATGGTGGCGAGCATCGCGACGCCAAACAGCAAGGAGACACGCGTAGCCCGGAGCTGTAGCCGAGGCGTCTTTGAGATCTCAGCGGTGGCAGAAACGGTAGAGGAGGTGGGGCCTCACGAGCCGACAAGACGCCGATCGCCTGGATTCTGCAGGTTGCATTGGACGTGGAGGGCGCCATCGAAGCCCAACTCGACACGCCGCAAAAGGCGAGCGACAAGCCCTAGACCACGCCCGGGCGCGCGATTGACGCGTCCCTTCGGGAGAAGGCGAGTGACTTTTACGGCCACCGCGTGGACGAGGTGCCCAACGTGGAGGTTTCGGAGGTGCCACCCTCGCCACCGCCGCCATCCTCGCCGCCGGAAGAGGACGGCGGGTGGCTGCAGGCGAGCGGCCGTGCCGGGGAGAGGGAGGCTAGACAGACAGCCCAGCCGCCCGCCCTCTTGCCAACAGCGGCTGAGGTGGACCCTGTCTACTCACACTCTCGGCTCTGTACCACGCCACAGGGGCCGACCCTCCCCATATCTCCCCATATCTCCCCATATCTCCCCATATATCGTGCCGCAGGGGCCGACCCTCTGGATCATCATCGCGGCAGCCGCTGTCGGCGCGCACCAGAGCACACAGGCTCACCCGCATCCCGAGTCTGTACATGCCGGGCTGTAAACAGGCGGCATCTCGCTCATTCTTGGCGCCGCCCTCGCCTGGTGGTGCTGCTGTCGAGGGGAGGGTCGCTCCTCTTACCAGACACCGGCGCCAAGGGCCGACCTCTACGCGTCGCAAGGCGACGCCTAGTAGGGCGGGGCCTCCGGCTGCCCGCCACGCACTCACTCAAAGCGCGTGGACACAGGCGGCTTTCTCGACTCGCTCGAGCGTTCAAAGGCGAAGGCGGCGGAGCCGTACCACGGCTCAGTGCGCGGCTCGGTGCGCGGCTCGCAGCGGCGCAGTACCGATAAGGTGCCAGACCTAGCCGAGACCAGCCGAGATGGAGTGCGGCGGCTTGAGGGAGCGGGGCGTGGACGGCGGCCCCGCCCGTGAGCAACGCCGCTGCCTGTGTGGCCGCCAGGTGGAGGTGGAAGGGGAGCACCGGCCGCCTCGCGCCCCGAAGCCCACGGTCTCGATGGAGGAGCGGGCGAGCATGTAGGGACAGAGGAGGCAGCGGAGCTCACACGAGCACTCCATCCGATTGCCGAGGGCGCGCGCGCAGCGCAGGCTCCACTTGCGGCTGGCTCCACTTTCGCTTGCGGCTGTGCACTGGGGGCTGTTGGGCGCGCCGGCGGCGTTATTTGCATCTATGAATTCTTTTGTTTAAATTCTTTTCCTCAGCCAGAAGAAAACAGCCTTGGAGGCGGCCTCGGCGCTCTCCTGATCTCTCCTCGACGCCCCGGAGGGCAATGACTAGCCAGGAGCGCTTCTCCGTGCACTCCCAGCTCGAGCACCTGCAGGCGAAGTACGTCGGGACGGGCCACGCCGACTCCACAAAATTGTGCACCGTCCCGCCTCCGCCGCCCGCGCGCTGCGCGCTGCGTGTGCTTCGCCACTCCGCGCAACCTGACCGCTCCGCCGCCCGTCGCCCGCAGCGAGTGGGCCGTGAACCAGCACCGCGACTCGCACGCCCTCTACGTCGGCTTCGACTCCCTCTCCTCCTTCTTCGCCGTCGCTGAGAACGAGGCGGTTGGCCGCGTCAAGTTCTCGTCGCTGCAAAAGATGATACAACCTTGCGGGCCGCCGCCTCCAAAGGAGGACGACTAGCGCACGCGGCGCCCCGGCGCCGCGCGGGCTGGGGCGCGCAGTATCTGTTCCTCTTGTACTAACTTGCGATGCCGCACCCGCGGCAGCTTTTTTCCTTTTTTCGACTTGAGTCACACATGTGCGGCTTGACGCTTGTGACACCATCAGCCATCTGCGACACACTGGAAAGCACTTCACCGACCCCTCCGACCTAGAGGCGCCCCACCGCCGCCGTCCCGGCGGCTGCGACGTCGCCGGCCTGCGCCGCCGCATCGGCTCTCCGCCCCCCCCCCCCCTCCCTCCCTCTCCCTCTCCCTCTCCCTCGCCAAGCCGCGGCCGCACGCAGTCACGCTCACGGAGGCACCGCGGAAATGTCGCGGAACCGTCTCACACCTCTGTGCGGGGAAACGGCGCGAGATGGCGCGAGATGGCGCGAGATGGCGCGAGACGGCGCGAGACGGCGCGAGATGGCGCGAGATCGCGCGAGATCACTCCTCGTGCGGCGAGTGGTCGTACGAGCGCGGGAGGGATGCGTCCGTGAGGATGACGAAGTCGGCGGCGCCTTTGTGCTGCGGTCGAAAGGCGTGGCACTCGGCCTCGGGGTACATCGCAACCTTAATAATTAATTAAGTGCTGATTAATTATTAATTAAGGCGTGGCACTCGGCCTCGGGGTACATCGCAACCTTAATAATTAATTAAGTGCTGATTAATTAATAATTGAGGCGTGGCACTCGGCCTCGGGGTGCATCGCAACCACGAGAGTCGACGGCGGCTGAGGCGCGTACGCGGAGAGCATCTCGGCGATGCCGACGTGCTTCTCGCAGTGGAAATAGCCGCACACATGCACCACCAGCGCCTCGGGCCTCGCCTGCAGCCAGCGGAGCAGCCACTCAGAACCAGATGATGATGCACCACCAGCGCCTCGGGAGTCTCGCCTGCAGTGCCCGGGCGATGGAGAGGGCCATAGTCGCGTCCCAGAGCAGCACCGGCGCGAGCAGCCCGTCCCGCCCGCTGACGCCGAGGTACGGACACTCGCCCTGCCGCCTGAGGACAAGCACTCAATGCATCGACGCTAGCGAACTGAGGCCGACGTGAGGAGCGCGACCCTTTACCCTTCCCCCCCTTATTCCCATCCCCACCCCCTACCCAAGCCGCCTCTCTGTCGTCGACTGCTCCGTCAGGGCCGGTGAGCCGACCGATCCTCGGGCGGTTATCTCGCGGCCCAGATCGCCACCCGCCTCCGCCACCAGCTCCGGGTCCGTGCGGCCGACCGCCGTGCCGAGCACCTCCGGGTCCGCCATTAATTAATTAATTAATTAATTAATTAATTACCGCCGTGCCGAGCACCTCCGGGTCCGCCATTAAGTGCTGCATGTACACCTGCGACGGCGCCGGCAGCGGCAGCGGCGGCAGAAACGGCGCCACCTGCTGCGGCCACGCCTCGACCGCCGCAAAGTCCTCGTGCAGCGCCTCTTTCCGCCGACCGACCGCGCCGACGTATCTCCGAGGCGCGTTGGCGGCGACCACCGGGAGGCGGCACGCCTTTGCGAATAGGCGCTGTTCACACCTCCCTGTTCACACCTCTCTGTTCACACCGGGAGGCGGCACACCTTTGCGAACTCAGGGAGGTGTGAACGGCGTCTATTCACACCCACTGCTGTGAATAGGCGGCACACCTTTGCGAACTCGACGAGCGGGCGGTAGTCGGAGCGGTAGTTTGTCCACGGGCGCGCGTCCTGCAGCATGCCCTTCTAATTAAGTAGTGGACTGACTAAGTAACTAAGGTACTAAGCAACTAAGTAACGAAGTAACTGTCCTGCAGCATGTCCTTCTAATTAAGTAGTGGACTGACTCAGTAACTAAGCAACTAAGTAACGAAGTAACTGTCCTGCAGCATGTCCTTCTCGCGGATCGCGCCGGCCAAGTACTCGTCCAGCACGAGCTGCACGTCGCGCTCGAACATCTCAAGCGAGAGGACGACCTAATTAATTAATTAATTGCTGATTAATTAATAATTAAGGCGTGAACATCTCAAGCGAGAGGACGACCTCAGGCCGCACGGCGGCCAGCGAGATGAGGAGGAACGCCTCGAGGTGGTGCGCGACGGGGTCGTCGTGGCACTCCCCGAGCAGCACGACGTCGCTCGACGCCGCCTCTGCCAGCAGCTCCGCCAGGCTGCTCTGCGCGCCGTCGCCGCGGAAGACCGAAAAGTGCTCCGACCCACCGAGCGGCACCTGCGGCAGCTGCTGCGCAAACACCCTGGCCCGCTCCATTGAGCTCCCTCCCGGCGCGACGCCCGACTGCGCCGCATCCGCGTCCCAAAAGTCGCGCAAGTACTGCCGCGCCATGCGATGGCCTCTCTCCGCCGCAGCGACAAGGAGCGGCACCGCCGCGGCGACGTCACTCTCGACGCCCATCCCTTCGATGAGCAGCTCGGCCTGCATGAAGTTGGCCGACATGTGCTGTTGCGCCGCCGCCGCCTCAAAGCACGCGTATGCCCTGCCGTAGTCCTCCGCGAGCAGCTGCGGCACGCTGCCCAAGTAGTGCAGCACGCCGACCTATTCCTCGACCACCCTCCGTCATGCCGGGGTGGCACACGCTGCCCAAGCAGTGCAGCACGCCGACCTCGTACAGCGCCTGCGCGTGCCCCGCCGCGGCCACCTCCTGCAGCAGCGACACCCCCTCTGCAGTGCTCTCCTCCTCGAGGTCCTAACGGGTAGGGTAGGGGGTGAGGACGGGACGTGCCACGCGTAAACAACATGAACTCGGCAGTTCTGCGGTCCCTCCCGATGCCCTCGAGCAGCACCGTCGCCACCGCAACCGCCGCGTCCTGCCGCAGCGACCCTACGGCGCAGCACACGTATTGGTTCTTGACTCATTCTTGACTCAGCGCTGGTGTCCTCGGCCGCACCGGACCTGCGCATATTGGTTGTCCAATCACTGGGACTGGTTAGCTCATCCCTCACGGTGGCCGCCGCAACCACGCCCGCTCCCCGCTGTGTGTGCGTGAGTGTGCGAGTGTGGGTGTCGTCTCAGGGTGTGACGTGCCTCGCTCTCTGCCATCACCAACAAATCACGAAGGAATGAGGCGTGGTTCGCTTGTTGTCCGTTCTGACCTGCCCCGCTCTTAGCCAGCTCGCGGTAGCGGCGTAAGCCGTCCACGGGGTCCAAGTTGTTGAACGTGAGGCACGTCGCGAGGTCGAACTGTGCCTGCGGCGGCGCGTCCGCCGCCGCCGCCGCCTCCTGCAGCGCCGGCAGCTCCTCTGGCTTTGGTTGGACCGGAGGCCATGCCCGTGGCGGGAGCTTGTGGAAGCCAGCCTCGTCCTCCTCCCACTTGCGCCGCAGTTGCTCCTCCCGCGGCCGCAGCTTCTGGAGCTCGATGTGCATCCCGCTGGACACTCCTTGCCTCCGCACATCATACGAGCACTCGGCCAGCTCGGGCGGCGGTGCAGCGGCGCGGGCGAGCAACACCGCGCCCGCGCTGACCGGAGCGGCCAGCCGCGAGAGGCGGCGAAAGGACATGACGAGGTGGCAGCTTTGACAGCACCGTCCGATGCTTGTAGGGAGGCGATGAGCGGCGCGTTGGCGGCACACGTTGGCGGCACACGAGCAAGCCCTTCTCGGATATTACGCGGGGTGGCGGCGTGGGGGTGGGGCGGGTGGGGTGGGGTGGGTGTGTGTGTGTGTGTGTGGGTGGGTGGGGGTGGGGGTGGGGTGGGGGGGGTGGGGGGGGGGGGGGCAAGGGCAATGCTTTCAGCAAAAGGAAAGCCAGCTTTTTCGATGTATGTAGCTCTTACGAACATACCCCGTAGGTGAACTGACAGGGTTTGCGATGAGGAGCGATCCGAACGTGAATTCGGGTGATTAGATCACTACCGCCGAAGCGCAAGCGCTTGGAGCAAGGGATTTTTAGTACCGCGGAAGACGGGGACGGAGCCCCGCCAGTGTGCAACCTCACATCCAGGGGTCTCGCGCGCCGGGGCGCGCGGCGGCCTGCTGCTCGTCTTTCGGGGCGGCGCGCGCGCGGCGGCCGGCGAGTGCTCACTGTGCGTATCCGCTCCCCACTCAAAAGCGGTGCTGATCTGCCGCACAGCGCACTGTGTAGAGCCGTACACGGTACAGCCGTAGAATACATCAAAAGGCAAAAAGGAGACGCAACACGAGTGCCGCCAGCGCCACTTCCAAGCAGCAGCAGCTCACGCGCGGTGCTGACACGCTCTGTGTATCGCGTGCTCACCATACCGGCGGCGGCGAGGAGCACGTGTGAGAGGGACTCTGCCGTCCGCCGCGTTGGTGGTGCCCTATGTGTATCGCCCTATTCGGCCGCCACGGGCTCCGCCGCCTCCTCGTCCTCCTCCTTGTAGTCTCCCACCTTGAACGTGGCGTCCACCTCCTTGATCAAGGCCGCCGCCTCGAGCAGAGTGAGCCCCTTGACCGTCTCCAGAACCTGTTCACAGCTGCAGGTGTGAAGAGGCGCCGTTCACAGCAGAGTGAGCCCCTTGACCGTCTCCAGAACCTACGTGCCGAATACACCAACATCAGGGCGGGAAGGCGGGATTGCGCAGAGTCTTCAGAGCACCGCGTGAATACGAGGGAGGCGACTGCAGTGACTACGGCTGAATGCGGCTGACTACAGCTGAATACGTGTCCTCTCGAGCGCTAGTTGGAGTACAAGAACAGTATTCCGCTTCTAGGGTCCAGAACCTCGGCCGGCACGCCCGAGAGGTCGTCCAGCACCGACGCAGCGGGCGGCTCCTCCTCCGCCGCCGGGGCGTCCTCGCCAGCGTCGCACATGGCCGGCAGCCGCAGCTCGCAGCGCCGCGACAGCGGAAGCGGCGTCGAGATGACGAGGCCTAAAAAAAGGCAAGAGAGGGTGGGAGGGCGGGAAAAAAGACGCGCTGGTGAGCGAGCGAGGCTGCGGGGCGAGCGGTGCGCGCCAAGAGTCGATGGCGCAGCGAGCAGGGCGAGCATTATCAAGCGAGGCGAGCTGAGAGCGCGAGCAGCAAAGCTCCGGGACTCGCGAGAGAAAACGAAGTTGCCTCTCGAAGAGGAGCCATGTTGCTCGTCTTCTTGCTCCTCGCGAAAGAGAAAAATGAGGAAGGTCGGCCGATGATTATCAAGCGAGGTGGAGCAGGGAGCGCGAGCACTAAGCGAGCTGTGATCGCGAAAGAAAAACGCCCGCATCGTATATATCGCCTTATGTAGATGAAATGAATCTGCCTTCGGCGATGTTTCTTTTCTTTCCAGGGCAGAGGACGCGGCACGAACGGGGCACAGATGCCATAGAAGGACCTGAGGGAGGGACGAGGGTGTAGAGGATGTAGAGTGTAGAGCGCTGTAGAGCTGTAGAGATGTAGAGCGCCCTGGAGCGCTGTAGAGCTGTAGAGCTCTAGGCGATTCGGTTCGTCGCAGTCAGCCAGGAGGGGGCTGGCGCCTTCCTGAATGCGATCCCCATGCGGGATGATATGAAGATGGAGACGTGGGCGATGCGCATTACAGTTCAGCGCCGCCTCGGCCTCCCGCTCGATGTTGCCTGCCAGGCGGTGGAGGCGGGCAAGAAGGCGCCAAACGGCAAGCCGCACGAAGAACTCGGCGATGCCGCAATGGTCAACCCGCGTGCGAAGCACGCGACACGACACAAATACCTGCTCAAACGACTCGTCAAGACCCTTCGCTCGGCGTGGGGCATGCTCATCGAGATGGAGCCGTCTGCACACCTCAGTTACAGTAACCCAAAACAACCTGACGTGGCGGCGGCGAACATCGGCAAAGGGCATGTGCGCCTCGTTGGCGACTTGAAACTGACGAGCTCGCTTGCGTGCAAGGGTGGCGATCGGCTCGGCTGGAAGGGGGCTTTTGTCGCCTTCGGCAACACCGAGCGGGCGCTGCTCGATTTAGTGTTAGGGCATGCTGCATGGCCGCGGCCGGGAGGGGGGGGGGAGGGGGGGAGGGAGGCGGAGGATGCAGAGGCGGAGGCGGCGGCGGCGGAAGAGGAGGAGGGGGAGAGTGAGGGGGAGGCGGAGGCGGGGGCACCTGTGACGGCCCGCTACGAGAAGGGCGAATACCGGTTCGCGCGGGAGAAGAATTGCGACCTGCGTTTGCTCGACTTCGAGACGTTCGGCGGCTTCGGGGACGGCGTCCGCAGAATTCTTCGGCAGGCGGCGGACCAGCTGAGTAACAAACTTTCGCACGCTCAGCACCTCGATGAGGTCACATGGACCACCAAGAACTGGCACGGGCTGCAGATGCAGCGCTTGTCTGTCGTTCTCCACACCGCCGTGGCGTGGCAGACGGTGAACGAGCTAGCGTGCGGGGACAGCGGCATTGTGCACGGAGCTAAGTGCATTGCCGTTCTTAACGGAGTCGCTTAGGCGGCTCCGGTGGTGTGCCGGTGATAGTACTAGCACGCGCCAGTTCGCACCTGTGTCGAGCCTGTCTGCTGTGAGAGAGAGTTGTCTTGTTCAAATTCTTCGCTGTGCCTCTTGTGGTGCTAGTTCGTGCCAGAGAGAGAGAGAATTCTTGATACGAAACCACGACGACACACACCAGTCGACTCGCATCGGTTGCCTCCATGAACGGCGGAGCTATTCTCGCGCCCACACCACACCTGGCTCCAACGTGGACACGCCCATAGCTGGGGACACTACTAGGTCACGCATGGCATCACAGAAGTTTTATCTCTGGGCCCCGAAAGGCATCTCTAGCAGTGTCGTTACGCATGCCCCCTCCCCTCCTGGGCGCATGCGCCTCACGTCTCACCAGAGCATAAGCCCTTGGCGTGTGGCGAGACGAGTTTTTCGCCATCGCAGCGAGCAGCAAGCCGCCCGCCGCAAACAGCCGGAGGCCTCGCCGCGGCACTGGCTGCGCCGCGGTCCCGCACCCGTCGACGCAGCTCCCCCCGCGGAAGACCGCGCGTAGCAACGTCTTGACGATCGAGATGAGCGTGCCTGAAGCTCGCCCACCTACTGCCCCTGAGAGTTGGTTATTGAGTGGGATCAGCTCCCCCCCTTGGGATCGAAGCCGCCACAACCTCACACCCAACATCCCAGGCGGGATCAGAAGGGGACTCCACACCGGACACCGCCCGGGCACAGCCCCCCTACCCGTCGGATCGCACAGAGGGCCCCCTCGGAGCAGCCCACACACAATCACGCATCGGCAGAGTTAGTGCCTGAGTCAGGCAGACAGCACAGACAAGGAGAGGAGAGAGAGAGAGGAGAGAGAGAGAGAGGAGAGAGGAGAGGGTGAGGGAGTGTGTACACGTGAGGAGTGGGGGAGGGTGTCTGTGGTGGGTTGTAGTCCTACTACGTGGTTAGAACCACGCGCCCCTCAGGAGCTAAGGTAGAGTGTTGGGTGTCAAGACACCGGCGTCGGCGACTCACTCCCCAGAGGGTTGAGCTGCTCAACGAAGGTGAAGCCATCCGGATCTGCACAGCTCGCCCTCCGGACGCGCAGCTCCCCGCGATGTTCCCCTAGCCACCGCCGCCTCAACATCTCCAGGAAGTCAAAGGTCCACCACAGCCACCAGCCTCCACCTCCACCCGCGAGCCGCCACCGCTGCCGCCCGCGACGCCGCCCGCCGCGTCAGATAGCCACGACGCGCGCATCGAGTCGCGTCGGAGAGCCGCGCCGCACCAGCAGCAGCATCTGCACCACCAGCAGCAGCAGCAGCACCACCACCACCACCCGAGAGAGAAGCGCACCTGCCCGACGCCGCCCGCCGCGTCAGACGCTCGCGACGCGCGCGTCGAGCCCAGTCGCACAGCCGCGCCGCGCCAGCAGCAGCATCGGCACCAGCAGCAGCAGCACCACCACCACCACCAGCAACAGAGACAGGCAGTGCAGGCGCAGAGGCGCTCGCAGAGCGGCGCTCAACGCCGCGCACGCCACGCTGCGGACCGTCGGACGAGCGCACCGTACGTCGGCGGCGAGCCGCGTCGCCAGCCGTCTCGCGAGAGAGCGGCGCCGCCGCGTGCGCGCAGCAGCCGCCGCGGCAGAGGCGAGCCGCGGCGACGTCCGCACTAACGGATAACGGCCATCCTCAGCTCTCTCTATACTCTCTCTCTCTCTCTCTAGTTCGTGCCAGTCTGCTGTGAGAGGGGCTTGTTTTCGTAGAATTCTTTGTGTGTGCACATGCGAGCGGCTGCGGCGGCGTCTTCGCGCCTCCCGCCTCCCGCCTGCGCGGCGCGGCTGCCGCTGCGGAGGGGCTCGCGGCCCGGCCTCGCCTCTGCGGCGCGGCGCGGCTTCCTCGCCTCGCCCGTCGCCCGCCACGGCGACTTTGAGTGGCAGGACGCAAAGTCGCCAGACGAGGCTCGCACCCTGTCGCCGGCCGCCTGCTGTCGCCCTGCCGCCGCCTGCCGTCCCCGCTGCCGCACGCGCAGTCCTGCTGCCGCCATTCGCCCTCGCGCACCGCTACAGAATTCGCCAACTCCCCTTTGCCACCGCGCCTCTGCCGCCTCCGCCGCCTCTTGCCGTCCGCCTCCTCCCGTCACCGCCTCCTCCTACAGATCTGCCTCTGACCTCGCCGACCTTGTTCCCGCAGGTCGTCCGATTTGTCATCGTGACGCGGGACGGGGCGAGCGGCCGCGACCGTCGCACAGGCGACGCGCCGGAGCCCGTCCGCGAAGCTTCTCGGAACCTTCCTGCAGGTGCGGCGCGACGTGGCGGGGAAGGTTGGGGACAACCTGCTGTACCTCTGCCACCGGCTGCGCATGTCGGGCCAGGTGCCCGAGATCACACTCGAGGGCGCTTGCGAGGCGTCGCTCGCTTGCTCGACTTGCCACGTGATTGTTGGAGACGGCCACTTCGACCGGCTGCCGGAGCCGAGCGAGGACGAGGAGGATATGCTCGACGAAGCTGTCTGTCTGACGGCGAGCAGTCGGCTGGGCTGCCAGATCGTCCTCTCCAAGGTACGAGATGTGGGGAGATGTGGGGAGATATGGGGAGATATGGGCTGCCAGATCGTCCTCTCCAAGGTACGCGCGCCGCACGGGATGGGGTGGAGTATTCATTCATTCATTCATCCATTCATTTCATTCGCTCATCCATCCACTCCTCCATCCACTCATTCACTCTCTGCAGGAGCTCGAGGGGATGGAGATCACGCTGCCGGCGTACAGCAAGAACTTTTACGTGGACGGCCACGTCCCAGAGCCGCACTGATCCTGCGCGGTCCGCGGGCCTCAGGGCGCGACACTCACGCCGTTCCTACGGCGCTGTAACACACGGCCACGGAGTGTCAATGGCGGTGCTGCGGTGCGGCTCGCGCGGAACCGCGGGGTGTGCCGGTCCTACTCGAGCAGGTGAGTACTAAGAGGCGTGCGATCAGCGTCAGCTAATGCAGGGTGTGTCGAGTGGGGGTGTAAGAACGAAAATTTCAGCGGGGTCCGCGTGCCCGCTCCTCGTGTCCAGCACCGTTGGCGTTGCTCCACACCCGCGCACGCCCCCCTCACCTCGCACGTCGCAGTCCTCACACCTGAGCTACTGTGTACGGCTTTTCGCTTTACTGACGCTGTCGCTGAATTTGTCCATACGGGGTGTGGAGGGTGAGTTGAACAGAGGTTGTGCGCCAAGCCCTCCTGCTCGGCTCCAGCCGGTAAACAAGTCTTGTCATCAACAGAGTAGATGGATCTGACCTCGGGGCCGATGTGACCAAGCGCTGGTAGCGTGGTTTGACCTCACACCCATGGTCTCACAGTGTGCCGGCAGTCGCCGAGCAGTGTCGCTCACACAAGCCGCAGCACAAGTGACTGAGGGCCAGTGAGGGCGAGCCCATCGCTGTCACAGCTGTGGCAGCCGCACAGTAGGCTGTGTCAGCTGTGCAGAGTGTGTGAGCAGCAGAGGAGCTGCTCTCCAGGCTTCTGTCGCAAAGAGCTGCATGCCACCGAAAGCGCTGTCGAGGTTCGCCGAGCGCGGCGCAGGTTGGAGGAAGCCGTCACCGACGAGCGCGTTGGACTTTTCACTCCGGACAAAGACGGGCACACAGCGGACGGTGCGGGGCGTGTGCCCGTCATAGCGGCGAGGCGCGGGACCGTCTGTGGCGAGGTGGGTCGCGTCCTCCGATTTTGTTCAACCCAGCATCCACACCCTTTAGAGCGGTCCACACACAACTCTTGTTTCACACAACTATTATACTGCCTCGACGACGACGTGCCCCTGCACTGGTTACATTCGACGACCCTACCTCCATTTTCCTGCACGGTCGGCACGGACTAGCCACGCCTGGGCACACATACGTCCGTATTGCAATACACATATTAACATTGCCATGTTGGGCGGTGGGTGTGCAGTGTGCAGCTGAAAGACCTCGTCGTCTTCTTGTGTGTGTGAGTGTCACACACACACACACACACACACACACACACACGTCGTCTTCTTCTTTCTTTCTCCGTCGTAAAATTCTTTTTTTCGCCAGTTCGCACCTGTGTCGAGCCTGTGTGCTGTGAGAGAGAGTTCTTTTGTTTAAATTCTATATACACGAAAGTGCTCCAAGTGCCAGAATTCTACACTGCCTCGGCTCGTGTTCCATCTCAGGCTGCAGTTGGCGATGTTGAAAATGTTGGAGATACACCGTCGTGGTTCATGTACTGCGCTCCGCCCCAGCACAGCTGCGGTTTCTCCCCGTGCTCCCTCGATCGCAGTCCGGCGGTGCGGGCACTTGGAGCACTTGGAGTGCAGTCATCAACCTCACATCCAGGGCCGGGCGCGCTTCTTCGCGGGTTTTTCATTCTTTTTATCTGCCCACGAAGTGCCAGCCCCTGTTCCCCCTTCATCACAAGACGGTCGCCTCAAGCATCCGCCCTCGTTCGCCATCATGTCGTACGTCTCGGACTGGATGGCCCCTGGCAAGCTCGTCGCGTCGCTCGGCGCACCCTTCTGGGGCAATCTGAAGCCCACCGCCGGCGATTTTGCCTGCCTGTGCTCGCTGTTCTTTGACAACCTCTCGACGATGCTCACCTTCTCGGCAATCTGGCAAGCGCCCCCCTTCACCGCCCACGAGTCGCTCCCACCACCGATTCCCACTCTTCACGCCATTTCGCTCTCTCCGGCCCTAAACCGGCATCCACACGCCGACTCCGCCACCAGGCTCTTCGACGTCACCGACGGAGGCGACAAAGCGAGGGAGCTTCTCTACAAGCGAATCATCCCGGGCTGCGGCTTCGTCCTCTTCCTGGGCAACGTGTACTACTCCTGGATGGCGACGCGCATGAAGACTCAGTTCGGCCGCGAATTCACCTCCCAGCCTTACGGCATCAGTGCGTCTCCTCGCACCGCCCACTGCCTCTCCCCGCCCCGCCGCCGCGCCGGGTTCTCTCTGACGGGCGCTGGCGGGCTCTCCACAGCGCTCTCCCCCGCGTGACGCGTTTCGTTTTTCTGGTCTAGGCTACGCCTTTGACTGGCCTGGCGGGGGGCTCTGGGCGGGCGCCGCTTGCTTCGAGGGCTTCGCCGACATGGGCCCCGCCCCATCGCGGCGCGACCCTGCCTACCCCATCTCCTAGTGAAGAGGCGGCTGTTTTTCTTTCTTGATGTAGGCCCCGCGATCGGCACGATCCTCCCGATCGCCATCAGCGCGACCGCCGGCGACCTCAGAGACATAGCCGAAGTTGATCCTCGAATTTGACACATGCCATGAGACAACTCTGCCCCGCCGCAGGCGACATCATGTCGCTCGTGTCGGCCTACAATGCGGGCGGTCCGTGAAATGTCCAGGAAGTGTCTAGGAAGGGGGTCTGGGAAGTGTCTGTAGGCCTACAATGCGGGCGACCCCTTCCCCATCGGAGAGACCGCTCATCTCGGACGGGTCGCTTCACGGCCCCTCTCTCTTTGAGTGGGCGTTTCTTTTTCTTGTGTAGGGGAGACGCTCATCTCGGACGGGCTCTTCACGGCGCTCGGCGCGATCTTCGGCTCGCCGTTCGGCAGCCTGCAGCATATCTCCCCACACCCCCCCACATCTCCCCATATCTCCCCATATCTCCCCATATCTCGCCGTTCGGCAGCTTGCACGCGGCTTCTCCCGGTACACGCACAAGAAGAGACCCACACTCGGACTCATGTGTGGTGCTGCGAGTGGCGTTAGGTACCTGCATCTACTTTGGCAGACACCTCCTAGCCACTTCCAAGACACTTCCAAGACACTTCCCAGGTACCTGCATCTACTTTGGCCACCCGGTCCACAAGAAGATCGGCGGCAAGTACTTCTTCTCCTTTGCCAACGGGGTGATCTACCTCGTCATCACCCTCGCCGGTGCATCACCTTCCCCTTCCCTCTCGACCTCTCTCACGCACGAGCAACCCGGTGTACTCTCCCTGCCAACTGTGAACACAGGCATCTTCCCTTTCATCCTCGACATCACCCCCGCCGTCGCGTCCGGCCCGACGATCATGATCTTCGGGCTGATGCTCTGCGAGGAGAGTGCTACCACATCTCCTCATATCTCCCCAGATCTCGCCACTCCCTCCCCCTCCCCCCCCCCCCCCTTCCTTCCCAGGAGTGCACGCGCGTCATGCCGCAGCGCCACCACGCCGTCACCTTCTTCGCCCTCTTCTTCGCCTGGGCAACCTTAGCGCGATTGCCTCGCACCGCCGGCGCCTCACGACTCCATGGATGACCGCTTGTGTCGGCTCGTGAACGCACAGGCAAACTACGCGTGCACCGTCGGTACCGTGACGCCGGACTCGGAGGTTGGCATCGGGCTCAACATGATGGCCACAGGCGAGACAGATCTCCAATCTCCGACGCGAGATATGAACCTCGTATTCATATCTCAACATGATGGCCACAGGCGCGCCACCTCCTCCCAACACCTCTGGCCTCGCCGTCGCCGCCGCCGTCGCCGCCGCCCTCTCCCCCGCCGCCCCAACCCTCTCCACCTCTCCCTTCCCCCCCCCCCTCCACCTCTCCCTCCCCCCCTCCCTCTGCCTCGCCGTCGCCGCCGCCGTCGCCGCCGCCCTCCTCCCCACCCCCTGGCCTCGCCCGCCAAGCATCCCACCTCCAAGTAGTTCCACTTGCTCCTGCCCCCTCTCCCCCCTTCCTCGTCCCCCGGATGTGACACAGGCAACCTCCTCCTCGGCATGCTCTGGGCGGCCATCCTCGTGTACGCCATCGACCGAAAGTATGCAGCGCCCGCCCCCACAGAGCTGTACTACCCACAGCCGTGATGAACTGGCCCACAGAGCTGTGTGGCAGCGCCCCGCCGGCTGCGGAATGTCTAGGAAGTGCCCCGAGGAAATGTCTAGGAAGTGTCAAGGAAGTGGCGCCTCTTCACAGCTCCCCGGCACCTCTTGTGAACCACTCCACACACAGGTACGTCGCGGCGGCATTCGCGTCCCTCGTCGCCTTCGTCTTCGCCCTGCTCGGCATCATCCACCAGCCGGAGATCAAGTTCGTCGACGGAGCCTTCATGGACGGGTACCAAACTGTCTTGGGCGGCGACGGGTGTCTGGACTCCCTTCCCTTCTTAGCCCCGTGCGTTTCTTTTTTCAGGTACGGCTACGGGCGGCAACAGCTTGTGGCCGTCTAGAAAGTGTCTAGGAAGTGTCTAGGAAGTGTCTAGGTACCACTCGGGCGGCAACAGCCTGTGGCCGTCGCAGAAGAACGACCCGCGCTACTCTACCTCGGCCTTCCAGACGTCGATGGCGTACCTCACCGTGACCGCCTGCATGCTGCTCTGGCAGATACTTCCTAGACACTTCCTAGACACTTCCTAGACACTACCGCCTGCATGCTGCTCTGGCAGACACTTCCTAGACACTTCCTAGACACTTCCTGGCCGCCTGCATGCTGCTCTGGCACTTCCTCTGCAGAATACCTCCCTGACAAGTCCCCGCGGACACTTCCTAGACACTTCCCAGACACTTCCTAGGCACTTCCTCCAGAAGACCTTCCCTGACAAGTACCCGCAGAAGCTGCTCGCGGACTCGGACGAGGTGAGGCCGTCTCTCGGCCAGATCTCTCGCCCATCTCTCGGCGAACTCTCGGCCATCTCTCGGCCATATCTCTCGGCGCGAACTCTCGGCCAGATGCATCTCTCGCCCATCTCTCGGCGAACTCTCGGCCATCTCTCGGCCATATCTCTCGGCGAACTCTCGGCCAGATCTCTCGGCCATACCTCGGCCATGTCTCGGCCTTATCTCGGCCATGTCGCGGCCATATCTCTCGGCCATGCCTCGGCCATACCTCCACTCTATACACTTTGGCTTCCTCTGCCTCGGCGCAGCGCTTCCCCTCGCCGGAGCTTTCCCGGAACCTTCTCGGAGTATTCCCGCGCAGGCGGTGGCGGAGGACGAGCAAGCCATGAACTCGAAGCTCATCGTCATCGGTGTGTCGTCTGACGGGCCGAGCTGTGAATGGGTCGCCTCTTCACACCGTGTGGTGCCGTGAATAGGCTCCTTTGGCGATTGGTGGTCCAAGGCGATGGCGGGCGCGCCGGTGGACGTCGCAAAGGAGGCGATGTAGAGAGGGTCGCCGGGAGGCAAGCGCGGGTCTCGCCGCGGTGCCGGACGTGGAGAGTCAGAGCGGCTGGCGAGGCCTAAGTGACTGAGCACTCTCTCTTCCCCACCCCCGCGCGGTGCGCCGGAACCGGTCCGCGCGTGGGCCGTGGGGAGGGGTGCGTCTCACTCTCTCGGCGTGTGTCGCCCGTTGCTTCTGGTCCAAGCCATGTGCATGTCGCGGCGCCGCGCGCTTGTCGCTTTTGATACGCAGGGACGTTCGTAGACGCCCCGGAGACAGTGGTCTCTCTCCGACTCCGTGTATTTGCTGCATGCTGCAGACGCTGTGTGTGTGTTGTCTGGCGAGTCCCGAGAGGCAGCGACGCGTCCCGATTTGCTGCGTGTATATATGCTTGTTCGTGTGCGTGCCTGTGTCTCCTCTCGTGGTGTACATTTGTGTCTCTCCTTTCGTCGGTTGCTCTCCTTCTTCCGCTACTAGTACAACCAAAGAATCAGTTATCACTGCTTTTGCTACGGCTTTAGTGCGTAGTGGTAGTCTGCTAATAAAACTGGCTTAAGAGTAAAGTACGTAGCACTCACTGCCTGGTCGTCGGTGGGTCGGTGTGATTGTGCACCTGCACTTTTAATGCCCGTGGCTCCTGTATCGTCTACGGGTCTAGACGTCTGGAGTGTGTGGAGATACGAACTCCCGCAAGACGGTAGCATGCTTCATGTCTGTCGGGCTCGGGGTTCGGGCGCCCCACATCACAGCCCGCGGCCTAGGTGCCACCAGGAGACAGTGTGGCCATGCATCAACCGTCCCGAATTCGCATCTCGCACTTCTCGCATACGTCGCAGGTGACGAGCGTCGGCTGAGGGCCGCCCAAGCCACTACCAGTGCCGGCGGCGCGAATAGGCGGCGCGAATAGGCACGTGTGCGACGCGGCAACACAGAGCCTTGCACCCTTCGCCCTTCTCATCACTGCCCCGGCGCCCACGCCTCGATCTTCTTGGGCAGCAGCTGGTTGGACAGGTTCTCTCCGTGGCCTAGGCAGCCGCTTGTGCCCTGGCCCCAGGTGAAGACAGCAGCGTCGGCGGTGAGGGCAAGGCTGTGGTTGCCTCCAGCCGACACAGCGACGACGCGCTGGCCAGCGAAGGCCTCGATCTTCTTGGGCAGCAGCTGGTGCTGCTGGTCGCCATGGCCCAACCGGCCCCAAGCTCCACTGCCCCAGCTCCAGACTCTGCCGTCGGCGGTGAGGGAGAGGCTGTAGAATGCTCCCGCCGACACAGCGACGACGCGCTGGCCAGCCAAGGCCTCGACCTTCTTGGGCAGCAGCTGGTTCTGCACGTCGCCGTGGCCCAGCTCGCCGACGGCTCCAGAGCCCCAGCTCCAGTCAGCGCCGTCGGCAGTGAGGGCGAGGCTGTGGCGGGCTCCCGCCGACACAGCGACGACGCGCCGGCCAGCAAAGGCCTCGACCTTCTTCGGCAGCAGCTGGCGCTGCTGGTCGCCGTGGCCCAGCTGGCCAGAGTAGCCATAGCCCCAGCTCCAGGCGGAGCCGTCGGCGGTGAGGGCGAGGCTGTGGAACGCTCCAGCCGACACGGCGACGACGCGCTGGCCAGTCAAGGCCTCGACCTTCTTTGGCAGCAGCTGGTTCTGCGTGTCGCTGTGGCCCAGCTGGCCATGCCTTCCATAGCCCCAGCTCCAGAGGGCGCCATCAGCGGTGATGGCGAGGCTGTTACTATCTCCAGCCGACACGGCGACGACGCGCTGGCCAGCAAAGGCCTCGATCTTCGTCGGCCGCCACTGATCCTCATGGTCGCCGTGGCCCAGTGCGCCCACGCCTCCCTGGCCCCAGCTCCAAACGGCGCCGCTGCTGGTGAGGGCGAGGCTGTGGCAAGCTCCTGCCGCCACGCTCACGGCGCGCTCGCCTCCCAGCGTCGACGGGAGGCGGGTCGGCGCGTTAAGCCGCGTCACGCCCTCGCCGTGCCCGAGCAGGGCTGGGTTCCAGACCGTCGCAGAGCCGCACGACGAGAGCCGCCCCTCGCCGTCGATGAAGACGCTGTGCCATTCGCCTGCCGCCGCCCTCGCCGGCGGGTTGGCCTCGCGCAGCAGCGCAGAATAGCACAGCCACCGCACGGCGCAGACCTCGCCCTCCGGCAGCGCCGGCAGCTCGAAGCCGCGCTCTTGCGCCCACAAGCGGATGCCCTCCACCGCAAGTGAGGCGTGGAAGAGATGCGAGACGGCCGCGACGCGAGCGATGTCGGCGGGGTCGCAGCGAGAGAGGGCGCGGGCGAGGAGGTCCGTGGGGAGGTCGAGGAAGCGGGCGGGCGGCAGCGTGCTTGGCGAGGGCGCGGCGGAGGGGACGAGGCGGCGCGAGCGGCGGCGCGGCGAGGCGGACATCGCGAAAAAGAATTTACTACGCTAGCGAAAAGAGTGCCGCTTGGGTTGTTTGTTTTCCTTGGTGTACCTGTGTTAGTGCCAGTGCGCGCCAGTCCCGTGCCCAGTGTTGTGCGAGGGAGTTTTGTTGTAAAATTCTTTCCTTTTTTTGGGCACGGGATCATCTGTCCAGTGTCCACCCATACATACCGCGTCGAGCCTGACTGTTCTCGGTACTTACATGTGTCATGTCCACCCATACTGGACTCATGTTGCTTTTGTTCAATTGCAGACGCGCCCCGTCGTAAAATTCTTTTATTCGATCGGCCAAGCACAAAGTGGGACAGAGCGCCGTATACAACAAGAAGTTGCCTCAAGAAGCGCACGTCTCCCCAGCCATATCAATGGAATGCACAAGTCACACCTTCTTACTGATTCAAACAACAACTTGACAGACAGTGCTTTTTGAGATTCCGCCCCAGGCAGGCAGCCTTCCTACCCGAGCAGTCGAGAGTAGTTGTCGGTTGCCGCCTCTACCGCTCAAGAGGTCGCACTGGCTGCGCTCGATGCCACCGAGCTAATCCAAACACTGATTAGCTCAAGAGGTCCTCACACGGACCGCCTTTGTTTGAGGTGTGAGGACCTCCACACCAGTGAGGACCTCTCCCGTGAGGACCTCTCCCGTGAGGACCTCTCCCGTGAGGAATCAGAATCCCGGTCAAAATGTGGGCGATCCGACAAATCAGGAATCAGGAATCAGGAATCAAATGGAGCATCAAGAATAGGAAGAGAGACAGGAGAATCGGGAGGGGGGGGCAGAATCAGGAATTGGCTCTGGCTGCCCTAGAGAATCGGAAAGGAAGCGGAGGAAACGAGAATGGAGAATCAGGAAGCTGAAAGCGGGGCCAAGAGAGAGTCTGGGGAGAGAATCAGAATATCTGAGCAGAAGAGGAACCTGGGAAGGGGAATCTAGTGAGAGGTAGAATAGCAAGAATCCTTGTGTAGTAGAGCAGAATAGGAAAGGCAGAATCCTTAGGCGCGGACAGACTTCTCCATTACTCCTTTCTTGCAGCGAGCCCCCTCCAACCCACCCGCGCTAGGTCGCGGCACGCGGGTTTTGACGCATGGGGTCACTCCCGCGAAACCCGTGAACTAGCCGGGGCAGTCGGAGAAGGGGCAACTCCGTGCACTGACGGTCGGCCGCCAGAAAACACGCCTGCGTGGATCGCGTCACACCAATCCTCGCTACCCAACGCGGCGCGTTGGGTAGCGAGGATTGGTGTGACCCCGCGTTGGGTAGCGAGGATTGGTGTGACCCGATACCCACCTCGAGAACCTCGAGAGAGTGCAGTCATCCATCCAGGGTTCCAACTAACTTTTTCCGGGGTATTTACGTATGGTATGGTAGGCTCGGCGGCCCAAGGGGGGGGGGGGGGGGTATGGTCCTGACCGCCCAAGGCTAGCCCCCTACGATACCCCAAGCAGGTCTTCCAAGAGGCGGGGGGTATGGTCTCGAGGTGGGTCTCGAATTTGGCCACCGCCACTCGGAGCGAGATTTTTTTGAGCTTAGCCTTCGATGTTATGAAACAAACACATGGCATATCGCTCTCGGGCCCACAGACATCCCGCACACTCGCCGCACACCCGCCGCCCCCGCGCGCGCCCCACCCCGGCCGGGAGAAAGGGGAGTGACAGTTTGGGATGGCAACAGAACGTTTTTTTGCCATGGCGGCCCTTCTTACGCTGGCACTTGGCGCCACCTGCCCGCCGCGCGCTCCAGCGCCGCGGCTCTTGGCCGGCTTCGCCAAGGGTGGCGGTACACCGGCGGCCGCTCTCACTACAAAGTCGTCGGCGGCGGAATACCGACGGCTCGTGGCGGCCGGCGCCCTGTCAGTCGACTGCTTCGCGAGGGTCGACCCGGCGGTGGCGGCCAGCTTTGCAGGCAGCGACACGGAGGCGCCGTCCGACGCGACGGACGAGTGGCTTTTCGTGGGCCGCGTCGCAGTCGGTCAGACTGGGACTCTCACGCAGGCGGCGCAGCGAACCAAGCGGCTGATTCTCGAGTGCAGACGTACACTGAGGCGCCGAGGCGCACCACGTGCTGGTTCGGATGACGCGGCCGCTGTGTCTTGGTAGGCACGCGGCCAAGGTGTCGAAGCGGCTGCGCCTGCAGCGCAAGTCGCTGGTGGTAGGGCTGCAGGCGCTTCCTAGACACTTCCTAGACACTTCCTAGACACTTCCTAGACACTTCCCAAGTCGCTGGTGGTAGGGCTGCAGGCGTCGGGAAGCGGGAGATCTCGGCCATAGGTCCCGGCTAGTCTCGGCTGGATCTCGGCTATGATCTCGCTATATCTCTCTGCTAGTTCTCGGCTAGTTCTCGGCTAGATCTCGGCGTGGTCTCCGCACCTGCGATTCAGATCTGTCGATCACGGCTAGATGTCGACTCGACCCCGGCTAAATCTCGGGTGCAGGGGAGATCTCGGGGAGATCTCGGGAAGATGGCGGGGAGATCTCGGGGAGGTGGAGGAGAAGGCCTGATGTCTCTGGCCCCGCTCTCAGGCGCCGTACTCGATCCTCTCGCTTCTTGTACTCTCTCATATTATGTTGTATCAGGCGCCGTACTCGATCGTCTCGCTGCGCAGACCAGACAA